CGGGCCCTCCCCGGGGACGCCCCTCCAAGCCCCCAGGGGGCTCTCCGGAGGGTCCCCCGCCCCCTTTCTTTGTCGCTTTTAATCTCCTTCCCCGGACTGGAAGGTTTCGCGTGCAGTCGCTCCTGGGGAAAGCCTCGTGGCGCCCAGAGAGGAGCAGTCACCAAGTGCCCCCCGGGAGGACGGGGACCGGGCTGGGCCGGGACGTTCCGGCCGAGGGCTCTCCTCCCGCGGGGCGCCCTCCCCCCGGCCCGCAGCTTGGCAGGGCTTCCTCGGCTGCAAGGCCGGGCAGCGCTCGTTATGCATCAAAAACAAAAATGAGTCGCCGGCTCTGGGGGGAGGTCGGTGAGGCTTTGACGCGACCCGGTCTTTTTCCTGAGGCCACTATTACCTTGAAGTTTCCTGTTGACCCTGTGGTGACCCACCCACTTAAATACGTAGAACTTAAACATCAGCAATTCGGGTACATTTATTCCTTTAAAATTCTGCAATATCAGCAATCCTAAGACAAATCCATGAACAATATATTCCGAATGCCTTGGGGGGAAGCCGCGCAAGGGGACCCCATGACGTGCTTGGCGCTCAAGCAGGCACTTAAGCCCCCGGAAAACCGCCACTCGGCAACACTGTAGTGAGTTACATGCGGGACGCGAGACGTTTTACAAGATCGTGGACAAGTAGGAAAAGTAACTGAAGTTCATTTCTGTCTTCGTTAGGAGCTGTGATTCCTTAATAACTGTATGCCGTTGTGTTTAAACAATGGCAAATGTCAGCAAAGAGTCATTTTTGACCCAAGTCTGTCCCCAACTCTATTAAATTCATTTTTGCCAGTTGTTTCTAGGGTATGTGAGAGCAACAAAGCTCCCGAGAGCCCAAGAATTTGAGCCTTTAGAGCTGGAAGAAGAGCTGGTGGTCATTCATCCATCCCACTCCACCTCCCGTTGTAAAATAAGGAAACAAGACAGAGAGGTTCGTCTGCTTTCCAGAATCCGTGCACCGTCCAGTACCCCACGCTGCCCCAGACACAGTGCGATTTCTCCTAGGAAGCACTGTTCTCGCTGTCATCCCACAGCCCTTGGCCAGCACGCTCGGTAGTCCGTCCTAGCAAATCAGTGCAGTAGTGGATGCCGAGTGTTATCATCCCCATCTTCTTACTCCAAGATGTTGACCAAGTGCTGAAGTCCCTTGCCCAAGGCCACAGAGAAAGCTGGAGGCAGAGCCAGAAATAGAGTCCAGCTTTCCTTCCACACAGTCATGAGAGAGACTCAACATACGCCCCTTCTATGTGGCTGAGGCATTCAACATTTATACCCAATAATTAGGTTTGTGACAACTATGACGACAGCTCTTGTCGAGGTCTCCTCGCTTCTTATATTAATACTTGGAATCCACAACAAATACGGATGTTTATAGGTGTTGTTTCTGATTTCATGCATGGGGGAGAGGGTTATACTAGTTTAGAGTGGGGCTATCTCAAAGTGGTTCTAATTGAAAGGCGAGCTTCGGTAACAGCCAGAGTGCATCAGACATTGTACAGTTCTAGATTCAGATCTTAATTCATCCATCTGCTAATGCTTTAGACTTGGCACTTGCTCTCTCTCCAGTCTCAGTTTTATCAGCTGAGAAGTGCAGCTGATGATATCCATCTCATAAATTATGAGAATTAAATAATATGTTAAAACACTCAGTACTTGCTGCCACATGGAAGTGTGCAGCATAGTAAAGTTACCATAATGTAGGTAAAGGTAACAAAGTCCAAGACAGGATAGCAAATGACCATTACAAGGGAGCGGGTGAGAAAGAGAAGAAGACTCCTAAGGCTCAGAGAAATTACTGGACAGGTGATACAATTACAGTCTTCCTCAGTATCCATGGGGATTGGTTCCAGTACCTTCCACAGATACCAAAAAATCCACGGATGCTCAAGTCCCTTACATAAAATGGTGTGCTATTTGCGTATAACCTATGCAATCCTCCCACATACTTTAAATCATCTCTGCAAGATATAATCCTTAATACAATGTAAATACTATGTAAATAGTTATTATACTGCATTGTTTAGGGAATAATGGCAAGAAAAAAAGTCTGCACATGTTCAGTACAGACACAACCATCTGGTTTTTTTTTTCCTGAATATTTTCGATCCTTTAGTTGAAGCTGCAGATACAGAACCCACAGATACTGAGGGCTGGCTGTATTCAGTGACTGCACCAAGACTGGAACCAAAAACCAGGCTTATGACTCTCAGACCTGTACTTAGTTCACTTTAATTTGATTCCACACACAGTGAAGACCTTCCGTGTGGAAAGCCCTGGCTAAATATTACAGAATTAGAAAGGTGAGTGAGAAAAAGACAATGTAGGGGTTAGAATAAGATAGCTATTCCAATAATTATAATTTAAGACGTTAAATATTAAGTGCCAGCAAAGTATGTGTGGAAGTGGGGAGGGGATGGCGTGCCTTCATAGAAGAGGTGACATCAGAATATGTGTTTACTATGCTATCACATCAATTCCTTTCACTATGGGATAGCTAATAAGGGTTTCGACTGTTTTTCAAAAATATGATCCTTAAGGGCTGTCCTGTGGCTCACTTGGGAGAGCGTGGTGCTGACAACACCAAGTCAAGGGTTATGATCCCCTTACTGGTCATCTTTAAATATACACACACAATCCGTAGAATTAACTATAGCATTTATTCAAGTAACCAGATAAAGTCTTGCAGCTTTATTTAAATCTCACTAGTTTATCTAGATACAATTGATTCCCTTTATATTAATAATTGATGAAAAACTAATGCTATGTAGTTTTAGATGCCAGATTCTTTGGGTGTCTTCAGTTCAAATTAATAAAGTTTCATGACAAATAGTGAATATACTTTTGCTAATATACTCCTTACCATAAAGTTGGATTAGGGCCAGGCCACCTTCATGTCTGTAAAATGTTCAGCTTGACCAAATTGCTTCTGGCCTGAGGTAAGCATAAAAGCAAACCCAGTCTCAATGAGAAGCAAAATCATCAAAATCAAGGGCCAGGTGTTTCATAAATATTTTATAGTGTGTTTACTTTCTTAAATTCTGCATATTTCAGGTAATATATATATAAAACTCTTATCTTACTTGTTCTTCTTTTTTACAGTGGATTGATTCGGTTGGTTTTGAATACTCCAGAGAGTTCTGGGAATTAATTAGGGTGTATCTGAGCTATGGGCCTATCTGCAAATGAGCGGGTGTGACTACGGGGACTATCATTTCAACTGTATCCAGCCACATTCATGAACACCATGAAATGAATACACACCCCATGTATGACCCAGCAGCTCATCCTTACAAAGTTAATAGTTAAGGATAAAGAAGACATTTACAGGAGTTTCTAAAATTCAATCATACTTTGAAGATTATAGTTATCGCTGGGGTATTTCACACACATTAGTGCCTACTCATAGATATCATATGTAAGATAGTCCATCTCGAAGAAGTCCAGGCTGAGCCCACCACTTCTAGAAGCCCCAGTGTCCCCCTCTGACACTGTGCCAGAGTCAAAGTTCCAGGAAAAGCCCAGGTTCCTTGCAGGAAACAATCGTCTGACATCCTTTCATGCCTCATTGTGATCCACCACTCGGATCCCAGGTCCCCAATCAAATGTCTCCCTCCTTCCCTGGCCCCAAAATTGAAGAACAGGTGGTTTATGGACGACATCCACGAAGGTCAGCCTACCAGGGCACAGAGCAGAGCGGAGGCTGGCATCACTGGCGATATTAAAACCCAACTATTGGAGATAAATCTGCAGTTTTAGCTACTTCCTTTCTGGTGGTCTAGCTTTACCTGAGGCAGGATTCAGAGAATCCAGTGGTGTGGAAAGATGGTTCCCCATAATGGTTTATAAATGCCAGTTCTTTCAGCCTAATCTTTGACAGCAAAGTTCAGAGTCAAGTTCTCTAATGAGGCCTAGAGTAACTTCTTTTTTTTTTTTTAAAGATGACCGGTAAGGGGATCTTAACCCTTGACTTGGT